GGTCTTCGTCTATTGACACAAGATACACAACAAGAGTTCACACCAGCTCCGTTGACACCTCTCAAGAAATCACCCGACTCTACACCGATTCGTCTCATTCCGAATCCAATAGAACTGGGCCCTGTTGCTGGTAAAGAGAGTGGAATTATCAATATGCAGAAATGGTGCGGAGTCTGCGAGCGCGACGGGCACGATAGTATCGACTGTCCGTTTGAGGACACATTTTAAGATCACAAGATGGATTTTTGGTACCGGGTAATGATAGTCTGGGGCATTGCTTTGGAATTGAAATGTGCTTCCTTTAGGCGACAGCGATGATACCACAAACAAATGTTTTTCCTTTCTTCATGACTTGCGCATATGGTCATGGAAATGATGATGTAAATATAATACGTAATGAACGCTGGTCTTTGTGTGGTCGTATCTGTGTTTTGCTTGTACTTAATGGCGGCCATGGGGCTTATATACACTCCTCTGTTGGAATACCCAAATCTGGTGCTTTTCACAGCATTCAAGTGGACTGCTAATGTGTATCGATGGTGTTGAGCAAATCGTTACTGGATATCCACTACTACTTAGTCGACGGAATCACGCAGCTTTAAATAACTGGAAAGCATTGGCTCGTTAATATTAGCAACTGCTTTAAACGGCAACGTTCTCAGACACGCCGTTACTCTAGGCATACTCCAAAAAAATCGTTTAGCTAAATCACGATTGCTATATTTACTACGATCGTGCTTTACGACAAGACCTTCAGCGCAGTACGCACTGTCATGTAAATGTCGACCTCACATTTCTTCTCAGAATCGCATAAGCGAATCCAGATTGCCACAGACAAGAAATCGATCGAACGCATCAAGGGAAGAAATATGCTTGAGAGGGCTCAAAGTCCTGTTTGGCATGGATCTGTGCTGGATCGTTTTACAGTGCGATAGTTTTGCTTCTATTGAGAGGATCCCGGAGAGGTTCCGGAAGCATGAAGACGGAGATATATTGGTACATTGAGTAATCTATCGTCATTCTCAAGCAACTTGCAACCACTGAAGGCCAATCTTTGGGAAATTCATCCTCAGCGATATCACCGCCTCCGAATCAGCCAAGACAGCTTCGACTCTTCCCCTTATTTCCTCCTCAGTCTCGCGCGGTAACGGGATGACATTGACTCGATGTTATTGGAAGAGCTGCGCAAAGATGACGACGAATTCGACCTGTGCAAATTTCTTTCTGGCCCATACGCGAAGTGTCCGTCCATGGAATATATGTACTAGGTAATGGTTAGATGAGCTCGTCGTTTTCCGTGCGCCAACGCTCCGGACGCCAAACGAAAGCATATTCACCCCATGATGCTGGGTTGCAGTGTGCAGCCACGCAATGCACTATCACGCATTTTTGTGGAGGAAAATCGTAGTTCTTCCCTCTGATTGTGAGATGCTACGTAGTATGCTCTGTTGTCTTGGCCCATAATATGACTGGGTTATGAGTTTTGTACTGTTGCGAGATGTTGCTAGAATGCAGAGATCAGGGTGGAGGATATAACTACCATGACTACCATACAACGCTTCAGCCGAAGGAAGATTCTCTCGTAGTCCGCATCAGAGACGTCGTTCTATGCCGATAATGAATCGTATTTCATCTCCAATCCACGTCTAGTACCCTGGATTCAGCGCGAGTAGCGTTATGGCAATGGAGAATGTAGCTGATACATCTACCGTGCTTGTTAGCTGTATGAAAGTCATGAATTGTATCGGAGTCAAGCGTACAATGATGTCCTGCTATATTGTAAAGAAACAAGTTCCCCAAGATCTCAGAATCTGAAATTCCGCATCGCTTTTTGTCCCCTTGAATTACAGCCGATCGCACTAAGATGATGATCAAGTTGTTTTTCGTGTTTGGAGTCTTCCGCTCATCTTCAATCATCTCGATGAGGTACTGTTGGAACTCTGTTACGGGGGTCATGATCCCCACCAGCTCTTGAGTGAGTGGCAGATACGGAATATCGCCTAGCAAGGCTATGATTATGACTCCGAACAAGTTTTGGCAGGTGATACCGAGTGCCTCGCCAAAAAAAAGTGTGGCCATTTGTGGTATCTTCTTTGAGAAGCTGAGACTTCCCAAGAGCAGCTCTTACACTTAGTACACTTATGCTCAACCTCTTAAGGTCGGCTACCGTGCTATTAAGGTCATTCCTGGTGGGATGAGTCCCTAGTTGAAGCATTTGCTGTGTCTGATTAAGCGACTGCCTCCAGACGAGATTGTTATTCTTCTCATTGAACGCGACGGTTGTTCTCGGGGGTTGAGTATTTTGAAAGCAGGGCCTAAGATGCCATACAATCGGTAACAGTCTGAAAATCTCCAGCTAGCTCCTGAGTAAGCCTCAAATAGCCCAGACCGAGAGGAAGATGTTTGACGATGGGTCTCAGATGACTTTCGAGCAGCAACTACTAAGTACATGGTAGTTCAATGACTCATGGCTCGTGTTCCAGGAGGTACCTACTGTTGAACTGAGAGAGGAGAGTGGTGTGGCGAGAATAGACAGACCGCTGTTGTGAGCTATCCTGTAGTTGCAAAGGAGCTTGATGGTTATCCAGAGACAGCATACTACTAAAAGCAAGCATGCAAGCCCTGGGAAGTCGGCCATACTTGGCACGTCGACAAGCTCATCAGGTCTCTGATCCCTCAAGAAGCCAATCCATTGTCTTTGTATGTCGAACAATGACTCTCTACCGATCATCTGAGCTCGACGGTACCCAAGAGGAAGGCTAGGAATCGTGGAGTGCTCGCTTAGCATGACCTATATTTCTCGCGATGTTTACTTCCTATTTGCTAATTTCTTTTTCCACATATCAGATCTTACGCCGATGTTCCACATCAGTGTCGTGTTTTTAGCCTGTGAGAGCAGAGTTGCACCATACCGGTGGTTACATGGATCCCTCCACGCCGCAACCTTACATGGCTTGGCATGCGGAATACTGTGCAAGGCATCTTCCAACCTCGTCGGTACTCGTTTTCAGCGATCGAAGTTGGTGTTTCAGACGTGGTGACTGAAATTGCGATTTCATCTGTCCTACTTCCGCAGAAGTGCACTGAATACTAAGACCAGCACAGCATACCGGTGTTCTATTTATATTGTGTCTATCGACGCTCCAGAGAACAGGCAGAGGTCTGAGATGTTCTTTGGCTATGAAGATACTCTGTCGCAGCCATAGTTCATAATGAGGCAGTTTGTTCTCGTGGAGGTCTACATGTGCTGTCCCTGAATTCTGCTAAATCTTCCGAGCTATCAAGAAAGACAACATGTACTTGGACTGCCTGTACGTTCAAGATCAGACATCCTTTGGCAATACGTTGGTTGTCGAAGAGGGGCTTATGTCGAGGGCTGTTAGGTAGGTAGATAGGAAAATGAACATGTCCGCCAGTGCCTGTATCAAGTTCATCATCTGACAACTCATCATTCTCAAGACCGTCTGAATCCTCTGGCAACAATTGATAAAGCTCATCATACAGCTTCTTCATATCAACCTTCGCCGAACACGAACCGTCGCTTCCATCTGGGCGCAGCAGCAGTGCCTGGAGTTTCGACATCTGGCAACTTCATATTCTCTGCAGCTGTCAGTAGCAGCTGTTTTAGATTCCAGGAGTGGGGGGAGAAAACCATTGCTAATGACGTTCTTAACACACTTGGCTGATGATGCAAATTTGTCAAGATCAGAAGCTTCAACTTCTCGGGTTGTCTTAAAGTACGATGATGGTAGAGCAGAAAGACAGTCGTGTGTATTGGGAGTGTCCTGTAGCTGAAAGACCGCGGCCCCACGCTCGTCACAGTCTTGTGTGCCTTGTTGAGAGTTGAGGTATTTGATTATAGCCTATCGATGCCAGAAACCTTGAGGGAGCTTGGATCGAAATTATCTAGAAGTGCTAAAGAACCCTCTGCTATCTTCACAAACTTGGTGGCCTGGTTGGTAGCATCACCCGCATCGTGTGCTCTCTTGCTACCTGTAGGATGGCCTCTCAGAGACAATGGGGATAAAGGCGTGGTTGAGGAGAGCCCAACGAGCTTCTGGCAGCTGTTGATTAAACCAAGGATCTTAAATGGCCCCATGGTTGCAGTAGGAGGTGTACGCGCAGTGGCTCTGTACGTATGATGTTGCGATCACAGTGAAAATTGAGATTTGTAAAGGCGCTGCCAAACATCTGTCAAATCGCATTATGTTGGAAATCGTTTGGCGTTGGAGAGAGGCTGAATAATAGTGAGCAACGAGTCTTGTAGTCTGTTCGACTTCATGCGAAACTCGTTGAATTAATGGGGGGACTGGGTGAATATAAACAGCACAATAGCAATGAATTTATTGGAATGGCAATACTAAGATCACCTCAACCGCATGGCAATACTCCAAGCATCATCAATGCCTGACAAGCTTCGATCTCTAGACATGAATATTTTCTTTCACAATACCTACCTTACTTCATTATCTCTGGTTAATGGACATGGATTTCGCTAAGCGAATTTAATTCAGGGGCAATGATTCACGTGACATATGTGATGGCGAATTCTCTCTCATGCAGTTGTATTATTCTAAAGAAAATGCCAGACACTTTGCCTCGCGGTTTGAACCAACGTTGTAACTTCACAGTAATCTTTGCGCATAAATGCCGTGTCGAAAAGCCAAATACTTACTCTTGTTTGGATGTAGTGAACTGCTAACATTCGCCCTTGTGATGCGTTTCTGGAAATGCGTTTCCACAACTCAGCTACAAGCCTAGATTAGCCGTTTATATCCTCATCGATTCAATGTTTCATACGTGGCTGTAAACATATTACAGGATCCAAACATGCACTCAAACATAGCTGCGTATGTAGTATAATTATCACACGTGAAGTGCTAAGGCTTCGGAATTTGGACTTGAGCTATTTAAATATGCTAGGGTAGCGATGAATTTTGTCTGCGTAGCGCTTAGGCTATATGAATTTACAGTCAAATATGGTATTCTAACACGAACCTGGGCTTATAGATCAGTGGTAGATCGCATGCTTTGCAATTACACATCGTGCATGAATTCCCCAGGGTTCAACCCCCTGTGAGTCCACACTTTTTGTGTGTTTTTGCTGTTTTCTTGAGTTCAAATGAATACTGCTTGCTTAAGCACCTATTCATTTATCCAGATATTGCTTAAATTCCATTCCAAGCTCCATTTTTTTGGTTCTCGCTTAGCTCAGGGGTTCTTGGCATGAGATAAACGACAGGAGGTACCACAGGCATGAATTGAATTGATAGCAACAAAGGACAACTCGGAAATGGAAACCATATTTGATAAGCAGTTTAAGGATTAAAATTGGTGTACTATTTTCTTTTTCGTTTGGGGGGAGGGGAGGGGAGGCGCGGGTGTAGTTGGTGTTGTTCCAATCCAAGTCTAGGACATCTCGCGGAGGACAAAAAAACGGCAGAGAATAGGCAAGGAACACTAAACCCCAGCTCGAGCCTACTCCGAACTCATAAAAATGTATTTCTATCTACTCATTTACATCGAATACAATTAATAACCTGTCATTTTCCCTCCCGAGTCTCTACAATCCTTTAGCCTTTGAGTCTCGTCGAACCATCGGTTAATCGTGACTTGTGATAGCTTTGCCCACCCTTCGAGAGCTAG